AGCCTCTCAGACCTTCACCTTGCTGCCGTACTCCCAAGGATTGTTGAGCGGATTGTTTCTGCGACCCCACAAGCATGGTGGGCGTCGGAAGCCCCTTGCACGGAGGCCAGCCCCCTTCTTCATATTGAGGATGTTCTCTGGAGTTGGCACGATGCGACCTCCGTTGTAAATCTTTTCAATGGGAATTGTTGTTCCTTCAAACCAGCGAATGTGTCGTTGCCGCACACCCTGAGGCCCTAAGAACTTGTTCATCAAGTAATCCTCGTTGATATTGATCCCAACTTGGTTAGCATCGCATAGGTCATTGTAGCGTCCAACGAGTTCCTCACGATCCCACTCAAGATGATCCGGCACATCTACTGGCCCATCTTCATCCTGATACCTCTTGGCAAGCTTCTGCGACCTTGGCTTCGGACGGACCCGAATCTGATCGCCAATCTTCAGGAGATGCGAGGGTGTATTCACAGTGACCCACTCTGGCTCTTTGTAGTCATATTCCTTCCTTTGCGACTTGACTTGGATGTGATTTTCCCGCACAAAGAATCGCGCTCCTGCCATAGTTGGTGCAATCCCAACGCGCCAGCAAAAGTTGTCGACGCGGCTCTCCAGAATTGCCATTAGATGATCAATGGGGTGCTTGCGGCCCTCCTTAAAAGCACGTAGGACATACTTGGTGAGCTGCCGGACATTGATGTTGTAGTGGCATCTCAATCGTGACCTTTCATACAAATGTCGACCAAATGCCGACAACCTTCTGGTCGGCCGCTTTCGCCATGGTTGCTTCAGCCTCTTCCTAAGCAAAGGCTTTCGGGACCAAGCAGGCATTTCTCCAAACGGCTCCAAGCGCCGCATGGTCTTTTGCCGGCTCATGCATCTGGTGGGGAAAATGCGAACGACCACCTTTTCGGCTCGTCCCTTTCTGGCCATGGAAGCCATGAGGGCACATGCGGCAGCCGTAGACAAGCGACAGAACAAATTGGGTTCTGTGTTGCTCTGAGGCAGGGTCTTTGTTGTTTGGGTACCCTGAGAAGTCATGAGAGGCCGACTGCCTCTCACGGAGTCTGGCACGGCATGG